CCACCTTCGACTGTGATTGAGATTAGTCTAAAAAGACTTTTTAAGAAGTCATATGACTCCAGAGTCGGCATCCAATTCCCAAATCAATAAGACAGTTGGTTTAATTACTATTGGAAAATGCTTGTCATTCCTCCGTAGCATCTGGTCCCCACTGGACCAGCATCATTTCCTTCACCTGCTCCCCCCACTGACCAAACTGTGCTGCTCTGCAACTGCATCCTGGCCCATCCTCACCCTTCTGCCCCCAACCCTCACCTCCTTGTACCCCCAATATGTTTTTCCCAATAAAAAAAGTCATATGACCATTAACATATATATGTATGTATATACACACACACACACACACAAAAATATCATAAAACTATAACCATAAATTTTTAATGTTTGATTATTTTTCAATATACTACACAACCTCCACAATAAATCACTAGAACTATTCTATTCATCTTTGGTAATATTTCTCACATCTGTCAAGTATACTTATCCTCTGGTTCATTTCCATGTTTTTTTTGTCTTTCATTTAAACCACTGTAAGCGTTTACCTAAACTTGAATTCCTGCTAAGTGATCACAGGATCCTTGCTACAGTTATTTTCAGTAATCACTGTATTTTCTCCCTGAGACAGTCCATTTGAAAGGGAAGAAGTTCCTATTGCCTACTAGAAACCTTCTTACAAATGACAACCCCTTTTTAATATTCTAATACTTCCCAAAGTAATCCCTAAATTCTGCTAAATGTAGTTAGATTTTAAAGAAATTAATATATATAAATGTCTTTGGTGGTTGCCAAAAGTGAACATGAGCTGAAGCATTTAGTGAAGAAGATTGAAGACTATAGCCTTCAGTACATATTATGGACTACATCATAACATCAATAATATAAAAATCCTCGTTAACTAGATTATTAGCAACATCAAGATGAATGGATAATAGAAGGAAGTTAACAAGCATTTAATTTTATCTAGATCTAAAATTAACATCCATTAAAGCAATGTTGTTGTTATGTGCCGTTGAGTCACTTGCGACTCATAGCAACCCTATGTACAACAGCCCTAAACTCTGCTCTGTCCTGTGCCAACTGCACTGTCTCCAATACACGCATCCCGATTACCCCAGTCACTGAATCAATTCACCTCATAGAGGGCCTTCTTCTCCTGCACTGTCCCTCCACCCTCCCAAACATGATGTCCCTTTCCAAGGACTGGTCCCTCCTTAAAACATGTCCAAAGTATGTCAGACGAAGCCTCAGAATCCTTGCCTCTAAGGAGCCTTCCTGTTTAATCCTCTCCAGAATGAACCTGTTTGTTTTCTGTTTGCAGTCCATGGTACATTCAATACTCTTTTCCAGGACCATAGCTCAAAGGCATCAATTCTCCTTCTATCCTCCCTAGTCATTGTCCAACTCTCTGACACATAACAAGTGAAAGCAAAGACCATGGCCTATATCAGACGCACCTTAGTCTCCAGAGAGACACCATTGCTTTTCAGTACTGTGGAGAGGT